TGGAACCGGTGGGCGGTTAGAACATTTTACTACTAACAGAGATACAAAAGTGGGTGGTAGGTATAAAAAGGTTGACTACCCCTGAGCTAGACGTTGTGGTGGGGAGAGGAATGTCACTGGAGATGTTTTTCCTACAGAGAAATAGGAGAATGGTCCCAAATCAAAATAGTACTCCTGATCTAATAAAGTTTTATATTCTTCTACATGACAGTTCTTAAGCTTCAATAGAGTCAAAGAACTTGCACACCAAATAACAGCCCCTACCTTGAAATATACAGTATTTTATATTCCATCAGACAATGATCATTTGTCCATTCTTTGCCCCAACTCTGTGCATCCAAAGAGCCTCCAGTGACAGATTTACCTTGGTGCTTACCTGCTCCGCTTCCTCTTTACTCATGGCCAGTGCCAACTGTAGCTGCAGCTCTTCTTCCCCACTGCTCTGGGGCCATGCTTGCTCTGCTTCTACTGGGGCATTTGCCAAAGACAATGAAGCAGAAGAAGCTGAAAAAGGAGAACAGGACAGAAGATAGTTGGTCCAGAATGAAGATCTTTCCAACCTCACTTGAAGGACCAAAGCAATCTGTATGTTTGCAGGTAGACAGTAAGGAGATGACAGATGATAGATATTTCTCCCGAACAACTGCAAATAATACACAGCCTCTCATTCCAACCTTATTTGTGATTGCCTTTATCACAGAATCTGATCAATTTTATGGCAAATCTATACACACTGATGTACAGCCATGGTGGCACAGTGGTTAGAATGTAAAGGTTCCCCTCACACATATGTGCTAGTTGTTCCCGACTCTAAGGGGCGGTGCTCATCTCCGTTTCAAAGCCGAAGAGCCAGTGCTGTCCAAAGACGTCTCCGTGGTCATGTGGCCAGCATGACTAGATGCCGAAGGCACACGGAACACTGTTACCTTCCCACCAAAGTTGGTTCCTATTTTTCTACTTGCATTTTTACATGCTTTCGAACTGCTAGGTTGGCAGAAGCTGGGACAAGTAACAGGAGCTCACTCCGTTACGTGACACAAGGAATTTGAATCGCCAAACTGCTGACTTTTCTGATCAACAAGTTCAGAGTCTTAGCCACTGAGCTACCACGTCCCTCTAGAATGTAGTATTGCAGGCTAATTCTGCCCACTGCCAGGGGTTCAATCCTGACCGGCTCAAGTTTGACTCAGTCTTCCATCCTTCCAAGGTTGGTAAAATGAGGACCCAGATTGTTGGGAGCAATATGCTGAATGTCAGGGTTCCAAGTAATAGTCCCATAGCAAGCAAAACTCCGAGGCAGATGAATTCCTCAAAGAATAGCTTTATTGGAGATATCATATTGGCACAAATCTGGTGAAAACCAACTCTGAAGGTTCCCGCAGTTTTCACCTAATTCAAAGAGAAAGCTTTCCCACAATCCCAATCAGTCAGTCACATGGTCCAATCATTTTTGTTCAGCAATCAAGCTTACTATGAACAGTAATATTTTCTGGATTATCTATCTATGTCAGCCAGCCTGTTCAGAGGTGGGTTCCCCCTGGTACGGTATGGTATGCCAGAAGAGGTAGTGAAAATCTGGCGGACCAGACCAGATGTGATGGCGGCCTGGCCACAACCCTGTACCGGCGAAAGAAAGAATACCCCACGGTCCCGGAACTGCGCCACGCTGGGGAGTTCTGCACGGACGGGCCTGACAGCAGCAGCGGCAACAGCAGTGGCAGAGCACATCCTGCCTTCGGGGGCCCATTCCCCCAGCCGAATCAATCATTTATTTATTTTATTTATTTATTTGTACGATTTATAGGCCGCCCAATCCCGGAGGACTCCGGGCGGCTTACAACAAAAGAAAAAAGAAATAATAAAAATGAAAATAAAAACAGGTTAAAATCAACACACATACATTTGTTATGATCGGGGCTGGACCTCAACAATGAGGTCAACAGCCCCAGGCCTGCCGGAATAGCCAGGTTTTAACAGCTTTTCTGAAGGCCATGAGAGTGGGTAAGGTCCGGATCTCTGGGGGTAGCTCATTCCAAAGGGTCGGAGCAGCCACAGAGAAGGCTCTCTTCTGGGGAGCCGCCAGCCGACATTGTCTGGCTGACGGCATCTGAAGGAGGCCCACCCTGTGGGATCTCACCGGCCATTGGGAGGAATGTGGCAGTAGGCGGTCTCGCAGGTATGCTGGCCCTAAGCCATGTAGGGCTTTAAAGGTAATAACCAACACCTTGAATTGCGTCCGGAGACCAATAGGTAGCCAGTGCAGCTCGCGGAGGATAGGTGTAACGTGGGTGTACCTAGGTACACCCAATATTGCTCATGCGGCTGCATTCTGGACTAGTTGCACTCTCCGAACACTTTTCAAGGGTAGCCCCATGTAGAGCGTGTTGCAGTAATCCCGCCTTGAGGTGACTAGGGCGTGAGTGACCATTTGGAGTGCCTCCCGATCCAAGTAGGGCCGCAATTGATGCACCAGGAGAACCTGGGCAAAGGCCCCCCTGGTCATGGCGGCAACAACAGGCAATGGGAGAAGGAAGAAAGTACTCCAGGAGGGCAGGCAGTGCACATGTGCAGCAGCCCTGGGACATCTGCCTGGTGCCTGCCCTCCTGGAGCACTTTCTTCCTTCTCCCGCCGGCAGAGAGCCAAGGCAAGCTCTCCCCCCACTGCCGCCGACACTACTGCCGCCGACACCACTGCTGCCGGGCACGTCCACGCAGAGGAAGTCACATGAGCGTGGAATCGCCCAATGGAAATTCCAGCCACGCGCAGGGAAGAGGCGGCCTAGCGCAAAGTCCTTTCCGTCGCCCTGCATGGATCCTGTGCGCTGTGTTCCTGGTGGGTGACCAGGAGAGGGCGGGATGGGAGCCGCTCTCCTGAGTTGAGCTCTAATTTCCTAGGCTCAACTCCAAAGAGCCTTGTGGGTAAAATGAGCCACCTCTGCTGCCACTGAAAGAGAAGAGATTAGTATTAAATGTATCTTTCCTAATCTCCCCATGCGGCTCTGGCACAATAAAACTGGCTGGTGGCTGGGAAGCTGCTATTGCCAGAGCTCTGACAGGCAGGTCAATTCGTGAACCGGAGCTGCCACTGAGGCTGGGAACGGCCACGCCTGCTCGCGCATGCCTCCTGCAAACTGGCAAAGTCTGTGAGCCTGGAAGCAGGCACAGCAACTTGTGTGCGCCGCCCGCCAGTTGCTAGAGCCTCTCCGTGCAGCCAAGCTGTCAAAATCAATTAAAAAGTGCCTGCACCTGCTTGCGCGCCATCAAAGGCAAGTCCGGTGAAATCGGACTGAAGAGTCTCACTCAATGGCTGCAACACTGGGAATGGCCGTGCCTGCTTGTGCATGCCTTCTGTAGCATGCTCAACACTTTTGGACACCCACCAGGTAACCCACCGAGGGGCAGAGAAATCAGGCTCCAGCAAAAGGAAAAAAATCTGTTTGAAATTAGCCCTCTCTGCTCCTCTGCTAAAAAGGCGGGAACCGTGGCCAGGAGATAACAGGAGGACTAACCATATTCGGTTAACCCCCAGAGTGGGAAGAGGCTGAATTGGGGGCTCTGTGAGTTGGTTTGTAGGACATGGATGGCCGTGATCATAGGATTTGTTGGGTGTCGGTTTTAGTTCATAGAATATATCTACGAATATAACTGGAAGGGATGTGTGTGTGTGTGTGAGTGAGAGAGAGAGAAAGAGTAACAGAGAAAGAAAGAGAAAGGAAGGAAGGAAGGAAGGAAGGAAGGGAGAGAGAAAAAAGAGACAAAGATAGAAAGAAAGAGAGAGAAAGAGAAAGAGAAAGAAGGAAAGAAAAAGGAAAGAGAAAGAACGAAAGTGGGAGAGAGAGAGACAAGAAAGAAGCAAAGAAAGAAAGAAAGAAAAAGAACTTATTACCACAATTGAGGCCAAAATTTTGGTTGCTAAGCAAGAGCATTGTTAAGTGAGTTTCACCACATTTTACCCAATCTATGACATCTCATGGTGAGTGACATCAAGTTGGCCATGCCCACCCAGACACATGACCGCCAAGCCACACCCACAGAATAGCCCAAGCCTACAGAATAGGTAGTAAAAAAATTTGAAACCCACCCCGGACCAAAGCCAGTTTTTTGGAGCTCTCTGGAACCCTAGGAGAGAGGACGCCATCCTTATCTCTGGCAGGATGCTGTTCCAGAAGAGGAGAAGGCATATTTTCTTAGTCTCACAAGAAGGCAATATTTAATGGAAGGGACCTGGAGCATACCCACTCTGTCAGAATGTATTTTGTGGGCAGAAACGATTGGAAACAAGCAGTCATTCAGATATCTAGGCCCTGTGACATAACAGGGCTTTATAGGCAATACCCAATACCTTGAATTGCACTTGGAAACCAACTGGTGTAGGAAGGTTCTAGATGGCCTTCAAGGGCAGCCCCATGTACAGGTAGTCCTCATTTTACAACTGTTCAAAGTTACAATGGTCATAGAACAGATGCTTTACAGCCCATAAAACATCCCCAGCCATCATAAATTGTTGTGCCGCCACCTCCCTCTGCAGTCACATGACTACATGTCAGGCAGGTCAGCTTTACGATTGGATGTGGCATCCCACAGTCATGTGACTATAGTTTGTAATGTTTTTTTGCTGGTTTGGGCAAACAATGCCAAGTCAAATGAATGGGTTTGCTGAACGGCCCCCATGGAAAAGGCCAATAAAGTATTTTTGTTCATGTGAGCGCCTTGACAGACCAGAGCACACTGCGATAATCCAATCATGAAGTGCTCAGGACATGAATAAGAGAACTCAAACTTTCAAATTATATGTAGTCAGAAGATTATTTGCCTGATGAAAATGATTTTGTCAGGCAAAAAAATGGGTGTTCTTAAACCAGGTGATGTGATTTGAAAAAATGTACATGACACATTGAGAACAGAGTTGGCATGTCTCCCAGATGGGTTCCTTCAAAAGGAAATGAGGTGATTATTTCTAAACTGCTCTTTATTGCATTTTAAAGCACTATTTCAGACACAGTGCTGATCAACAGCATGAAAATGTCCACTAATTAATTCTAACTTATACACAGAAACCCAATGGCCTCTACAATTATTTTATTGTAATAAAAAATAGGGAAAGATGTAACAGAACAGAAAAGCTGGAACTCGTTTAGGTGTTTCCTCTCCTGAAATTACAGGTAATCCTTGATTTACAACCACAATTGAGCCTCAAATTTATGTTGCTAAGCAAGGTAGTTGTTAAGTGAGTTTTATCCCACTTTATAATGATCTTTCTTGCCACAATTGTTAAGTGGATTATCGCAGTTGTTAAGTTAGAAAGACGGTTGTTAAGTGAATCTGGCTTCCCCACTGTCAGAAACTCGTAAAAGGTGATCACGTGACCCCAGGACGCTGCAACCATTGTAAACATGAGTCACTTGCCAAGTCTGAATTTTGATCATGTGACCACATGGATGCTGCAATGGACCTAGGTGTGAAAAATGGTCATAAGTCACTTTTTTCAGTGCCACTGTAATTTTGAATGGTCACTAAATAAACTGTTGTAAGTCAAGAACTACCTGTACTCAGAATCTTTTTTTTTTTTTTTTAACCAACTGAGTAGTCTAATTAACTTTAAAGCAGTGAATGTAGTTCCATAGTGCAAGGCCAAAGAAAGATAAGCCACGTTATAAAGTTGGTTCTCCACAAATCCAAACAGGCACACTTTTTGCAAAATTTGCTAAAAGCCCAGCTTACATTATGAACCAAACACAGAGCAGAGAGCTATCACTAGGAACTTACCAGTAATCAGAAATGAAGCTGAGAAAGGTCAAACGCTAAGTCGAAAATAGTTTTAAATATCTTGGTCTCTTCCAATAAGGAAGGTTCACAGCATTCCGTGCGTCTTCGGCATTTAGTCATGCCGGCCACATGACCACGGAGACGTCTTCAGACAGTGCTGGCTCTTCGACTTTGAAACGGAGATGAGCACCTCCCCTAGAGTCGGGAACGACTAGCATGTCTAGTATGCGTGAGGGGAACATTTACCTTACCTTCCAATAAAAAAAAAATAGAACTCCTATCTGCCCCCTACTTCTATAATATACTGTTAGAGAAGGAAGCCTTCTCAGGAATTGTCATTTCCTCATCCAAGTTACATTGGCTCTTATCCAAGGTAACTTATCCAAATCTCAAATTAAGCCACTTTTGGTGACCAGGGGCCACCCTTAAAATTGTTGTTAGTATGATTTATTGGGTTTGGAATTTTCTTTCACTGTGATATGTATTTGTGCGGGGGGGGGGTGCACTAAGGGAGGCTCAGCCAATCTCATTGTACACATGTTGTGCACTGACAATAAAGGTTGAATTGAATTAAAGTTGTTTTGATAGGAGCAAGAACTACAGCAGATGGGAGAATGGTACTGGGTGAGACGAGCTGTATTTTCACTTTGTTTGTATGCGTTTATTTCTTGTCCCATTTAGGACAAAGACTGAAGATTTTTTGCTATATGGCATATACTCCAGAATAGTGGTGACTTTTCTGCTGCAAAAAAGCAAATCAATTCATACAAAGGCTATGAAAAAGCTGTGATGTGCAGCATGCAACCCATGTTCTGGAGACTATCTTACAAACTCAAAATGGGAAAACTCACCGCAACCAACTTGCCACGGGACAACTCACTGCAGGACAATTCAACAATTTAATTTAGTTATTTAAAATAATTTTTAAAATAATTTTAATTGTCATTTACATTTTACTTTGTCCCTCCTTTTACATCCTTTTTTAAATTATTCTATTCCACTATCACTTTGATATGTGTAACTCTTGTCCCGTGGCAAGTTGCCCCATGGCGAGTAGGTAAATTGGCTACAAATTGTCCTAGACATTTACAAACTAATAGGAAAGTCCTCTAGAAAAGATCATAGATTCCAAACTCCTTGCAGACGGTATAAATCCTTCCATGCCCCACAATCCAGTCAGAGCTGAAGAAGCTCATTGGATGAGAAACATCTTCAAAAGAAAAAAACAAGAAAGTCCAGCTGCCTCCTTGAAAAAGCACCTTTGGGACAACCATGACCTGGATGACTGAGACTCTCCATAGACATTTATCCTGACCTAATTCACATATTGTTATGCCAAAAACTATAATGTATAAGCCAGAATGTTGGGGGTCTGACAATTCACCAAGCTAAAACCAAACAAACTTTAGGACTTAACAATCAGGGAATCTCAAACCTTGCCATAGTGCAATCCTCTGAAATCATAAATCAGTTATTTTTAACAAGTTAGGTCTGACTCCTCCTCCCCCAAAAAACCTGACCATGTTTCAAAAAGTTCTGAAATCCTGCCTTACATTTGATCGTCTTTTAATCACTGCTTTTCTTCAGGGCTTTGTGTGAGGATTTTGTTCTTATTGTTTGTCTGATTTGTCTAACTGTTTTTAATGTATGCCACCCAGAATGCTTATAGACAGAAGCTCTAAGGGAAAGCTCAGAGTGACCTTGAAAAGACGTTCATCTAAAAAAAAGAGACTGAATTTACTTCTTCTAGCTTTGTGGCAGTTCATATATCATTCTTATATTATCTTGCTGGGGAGGTGGTGATTTTTTTTTCTTCCTTGGCTCTTTGACTCCCTTTTTTTGAGGCTTTGAAGTATTGATTCCTGATTTTGTTTTTGGCTCTCTTTTCCTTTTGAAAATATTGGAGACAAATGGATGGCTTGCTTTAAAATTTGAGTAAATTGGATTGAACACTTTTTTCTCTCCTCTCTCTTTCTTTTCTCTTTTTTATTCCTTTACTTTTCTTTTTAAGTGAGAGATCTTCACTTTTTCCTCTTTCCTCTTTCTTTTTTCTCTCCTCTCATTTTATTTATAATCTCGTATCTTCATAAGCTGATGTTTAAATTTTTCTGATACTAACTGGACTAGAATATAAAAGAAAAAATTTAGAAGATGAGTAGAAAAACAACACCTGTTGGTTCTACAATAACAACCCTTGCCTCCTCACCTGCAGGAGGACAAGATTAATACAGTCTATGCTTCAACAAGAAAAGGAGTAGGGAGTAACTTTAGAGGTAATCATGCAAGCCATATAGAAATTACAAGCAGGAGCTGATAGCAAGGATTAAAAGTTAGACACCATTGTAAAGAAGACCGAGAGTATAGAAAAAAGAATTGAGGACTTCCGGTGGCACTGTAGACGTTGAAGGATGCTCCTGTGGGAACGCCAGTCCTGCTAGAACAGCGTAAATCAGATGTCTAGCAGCTTGAAAACTTGCCCCTTGGGAAAAGAGGGGGAGGTGAGCAGCCGGGCAAGGGTAGAGCTCCCCTAGACCCCCAGGAGCAATTTTGGGGCTCGAAGGGTGAGAGCCCCCAGCATCTTGACAGAGCTCCACATACAGGATGCTTCTGCTGCAGCAGAA